GCTTGATCCGGAGACGAGCGCACTAACCATGAGGCCACCGTGCCTCCTGAGTGGTTAGGGTGCCGGACTTGAAATGCGGAGGTCGCAGGCTCAAGTCCCGCTCTGATCACTTAGCTTGTGTTGTCTCTTGGTAGACCCTAGTTCAACTCCTGGGTGATGCTTGTAAATAACCAACTGGTCTGCCTCCCGCCAGTTGGGATTTTTAAGCATGTTTTGTTCATATGCATTATTTGTTTCATCATTTGGTTTCATTGGCCCTGAAACGCCCCATTAGGGGAGTGGTCAATGAAGACTTTTTTTTTTGCTTTGGAGTACTATGCAACCGCATGAACACATGTTAAACATTGACTATTGTTATTGTCCATTTTTATCAGACATGAACAACCACTATGCAGCTTCAGTGTCCCCCGAGGGGGTTGCCATGCCACGCTTCATTCTGTCACCCAGTCAACAGCAGCAGCTTGCTGACATTTTCCACCTCAAACAACAGCAGGAAATGCAACAGCAACTTCTTTACCAGAACTTCCAACACCAGTTACAAGCACTTCAACAACAGCAGCAGCATGAATTGCAGGTATTGATAATAAGGATAGTATTTGCTTTCCTAATGCAATGCTCCAAGATTCTTTGAAAGTAAATACCGTCGCTTACATCTAAGCATGAACTCCTGATGCCGAAACATGCTCCAATTGGGTGTGAAACGTGGCATGATTGGTCACCAAACATTTGAAGTTTAGCAGACCGTAACGTTTTGTAATACATTTGAAGTTGTCCTTTAGTAACATGTTGGGTTGTTAGGCGGAAGATTTGTGTGAGGCCTTGAGCTACTGTTAGTCTTACAATTCCAAGCTACGGCATTGCCCCTAACCAGTTTTGTAATGGTGATGGTTGACAGACAACAGGCTGTCAGAATGGCCAGAAGAATCCCTGTTCGTATTGTCAGAACTTCTTCATTTAAGAAACAATCTATAGCATTTAACCATGTGCGATTTGCAAACAGGCCTTCAAATTTGTTAGGTGTTCCTCTCTAACAATCTTGCGAGCATAGATGGATTCCAGCTTTTGTTTTACTACACCAATTTTTTGGCTGCTGCTCAATCTGGATACCAGTGCACCAACCATTTGGCCAACACACCTCCTATGAGAACTGCAACAGTTACACTGTAGTTGTAGTTTGCTGAATGCTGATTTGGATTAATTGGTTTCTCAGCAAGTTACTTTGATTGGTTGTTTTCAGTACCATCTTGATTTTCAGCGGCCCGGAGTTCTGGAGCAGCGGAACAAATTTCTTCGGAAGAGGCAGGAGGAACAGCGGCAGAGAGAGCAGCAGGAGAAAACACAAAAGGAAAGAGAGTATCGCTTTCCTCAACCGAAAATTAAGGTGAGCCTAGGTTTCTTTTCATATGAATGTGACAATTTTTTTTATTGCTGATTTTTAGAAAATAATTTTAATAATAATATGGCTTTGATGAACCACATGATGTTTTTGAAGTTCATTATTTAATGAAGAAAATACAAGTTTTGGATGAGACATCATCCATCGTCAGTTTTACAGTGAGAAATAAAATGAAAATATGCAATAAATAGCATGGCAAAGTGAGATATTAACAAGAATTATTAAGGATTAAGGTGTGAACCAAAAAAAGAGTAAAACTGTATTTTCTTCATTAAATAATGAACTTTAAAAACATTGTTTGGTTCATCAAAGCCATATCTTACTTCGTGCTGCTACGAAGCTCTAATATTAATNGTTACTCTTCCGGTCATTGATCTTGATGACTGCTTTTCTGTACTTCCCTCAAACATCCTATAAACCTTGCGCACTTAGGCTGTCCTCTTACTTTAGCTTTCACGATTATCTCGGTTCTTGTGTTCTGATTCTGGTAACGAACCGAATGGAATGAAGGCGGTGTAAGCAACGGCAGCTGTTACAGCACAACGTGAAAAAGCACTGAATGAAAGAATTAAACCTATACCAAGGGCAGTCTTGCTCTTGATCTAGTCTGTTTTTCCAAACAATGCATGAGGCGAAGAGTTGCGCTAATCAACATTGTAAAACCATGCTATTTTTCATAGTATCCCAGGTGTGGTTTTTTTAAAGAATGCCTTGGAAAAAAGAGATTTGCTATTGATGCAATAGTCAATGAAATAATGTAGTGGCTTGTAGTGGACAGCTAAGATTTTCTTTCGTCTTCATACTTGACGGAATTTGCGTTAATTCCTTTTCACTAAATTGACAAATGGAGTGTATGATGCTAGTCTGCTTGTTTATTCCAGAAACTCAGAGTCAGGCAAGCAATTCATCTGGAAGAAGAGGCCGAGGCCGCGGCCGCGGCCGCGGTGCTTCACAAAGAGGAATGGGGCGAGGCAGACAAAGAGGTTCCAGGCAGGCTGCTCGTGCCAGGCGGTCATAATGTAGAATCTGTCCGACAGACAGTAGCAGGAATCTTTGATCGCTTCAGTAGTTTTGTGTTTGCTGAGCTCACCAAGAACAACATCTAGGAATGTTTTTTTTTTTATGACTGTCTTAAAAGCGACGTGCTGTATTTAGATTTGGTTAAATACCGCAGTGAGCCAATCAGAGCGCATAATAAACCAGTAACAAGCCAATAAAAAGCGCCGGAGAACGCAGGAACTCAATGCAAGATTGGTTTTGGTTTTAACTCTGTTTAACGCAGATGGAAAATGCTGACAACTCCCTCAATAACTCAACAAATGCTTTATATAATTTTTATAGTTACACCAAATAATAGCCAGTCTATTAAGTCATGCATGTTAAAGAAAAGCAGTTTACACATTTATCATGAAACCAAATAACGTGAAATAGACACAAAAATGAGAAACCGAAAACAAAAACAACAACAACAACAACAAACAAACCAATGACATCATCCAAACTATTGAAGGCATTTTAACATTTTATTTCAGCTTTGTTATGAATCTTCATCTGTATTATAGAATATTTGAAAGTTGTTTTAAAAAACTAGCAAATTTGTGCAAAATAAAACGGTCATATCATTTCTTTGAATGTGTGGTGTTGCTGAATATTTTAGTTACTTCACACTTGTTACACCCATTTACCACTAGCTCATTAAATATGCTTGTTACCTCTGCTAGCTCCTGTTATGTTTCATGGTGGATTCTTTCTTGGTCTATAAAAAACATATGCATTTATGTGCACAGGAATGTGATTACATGGGGATATGAAGTTGGATACTGCAAAAAGACAGCACACCCACATTTATACCCCAAGAACTAGCAACTGTGAGGAATGTGGACCCCACTATTTATGGGTCTTATGTTTTGGTACTGATTGAATTTAAATGGCCTACCCTAAGAATGGTAGTTTTCAACTACCAGACTTGAGTTGGTTCTTTCTGAAAGCCAACTGATATCTTCGCTGAGAGTAACCAGTGAGTGATGTGTGGATTTCACTTGGCCAGAAACAAATTACATCCTTCCTCTGACTGTAACTTAAAAGAATACTTTATATCTTAAATAATTTTTGTTTCTTCATTTTATAATGATATTAATCATGATATGTGGATAAAAGCACGTCATTTTGTACAATCCAGCAGAAAGTTCAAATCCCATACCCTTTGTCAATTTTACAATATATTTTTTTGTAATTACACACCCATTGATTCATAAATTATCATACAGGCATAGATTTTTTTTTCTCATTATAGCGCATGCTCTCATTGGCTACCTTGAGGTCACAAGATGTTTCACAATGAAACTGTTTTTGTCCAAACTGAAAGTCTCTGACAACCTGAGGGTGCACCACTAAGGAAGGAATGGTGTAACTGACTGGTGAGGAAAACAAATTTTAAAAGTGAATACGAAGAAGAAGGCTTCATCTCGGTGGGGAGGGGGGGGGAGGTGGGGGAGGTGTGCACCCCCTGCATCCTCCCCCTAGATCTGCCCCTGACCTCCCTAACATGGATCTACTCATGTCTTTGTTGTGTGATGTAACTAATCACTTAATGACTGGTCCCTTGGGAAACCAGTAGATTTTATTTGTGATCTTATAACAGAAACCTTTTTTTGCCTTTGTGTCATGTGACTGGTGACAGCTAGCAATCAGAGGTAATTATCAGAAAAATTGTTTTTACTCATAGTTTGTTTAAAACCAATCTTTTTATGTGGAATTTTTATTGCGTAAAAGGTCTATCTGAAAAATGATACCAAAAAATGTTTTTCTTCAAAATTTTCAATTTTTGGGAAACTGATATTTTAATCTCAAGGTTTTCTTTGGCCGACAACCCCAGCTCAACCTAGGAAACACTGGAATTCTTGAGGAACAACAACAACAACAACAGCAACAACAACAACAGCAGCAAAAGCGACAACAACAACAACAGAAACAAAAACAACAAATTGAACAGCTCCTCTAGGAACAGTCATTAAGTGTTAATTGTTTCGTTTATATCCACATACACAACACAATCAAGAGCTAAGTTCTTGACTATATGCAGTGGAATCTTTCTAAAACAGGATTGCTAAACAAAAGGAAGCTACATGTGAGGGGTTAATTCATCAATAGTCTTGAGTTGTTGTCCACTACTTCCTCCTATATGCACTATAACTAATAACATCAGTAAGGTGCTGTTAACAGTCCTGTTTCATCGCTGAAGGTGGTACAACACAGACAGGACAGTGGGTGTGGTGCACTACATAATCACTAACACTTCCAAGGATTGTACGTCTAGCTGTACCAAGTCCACGGGCGCCAGTTACAATCAGGTCCACATTTTCATTTTTGGCCTCACTGCAAATCACATTACCTGCAGGTTTGCCGACTACCAGGATCATTTGATAATGAATCTGTTTGAAATGAAGGATAATAGCAAAAGTTATTACAAGAAAATGAAATTTTAGATGCAGGGTCCTAATGGTTGATTACAGTGCACGGGACACTGGATCCTGTGGGGGGGGGGGGTACTCCCTTATATGGGCTATATAGGTATGTGTGGCCCCAAAGGGTATGGTTTTTCAGCTGTATTGGTCATTTTTAATAGGGTATCGATTTTGGCCATTTTGGACTTAAGTAGGGTATGGTTTTTGCACTCTAGTCTTGAATTGGCTATGTTGTTTAGAAAAAGCTACCTTTTCATCATTATCAATAAGACCATAAACAAAACCCCTTCAAAAATTATGTTTAGGGCAACTGTGTCAGCTGCAACGGTCATAAATAGGGTAGGGAAAATCGCAGAGTTTGGTTATAAGTAGGGTAAGGGTTTTGGGAAGTGGGCTGCACACCCCCACCAAATTTTTCTGGGAGTACCCCCCGGGTACTGGATCAAGTGTTCTGGGATTCTAGTCTCAATTACAGCTGCCCTTTGGGAGAAATGTCCTCCCTGATAAAACTCTGGCCAAGGATCTTCACAAACTGGAACTGAGAGAGCAGCAAAAGTGAAGCATGTCCTGGGTTTAACCTGGAGGAAAACCCTTGGAACAAGCTAAGTAAGGTGAGGCCAACAACAAATTAACTCAACTCACACTAATGGCGTCAGGCCAGAATATATCTCACCTCTATGCTCACCCTAAAAAAGTGACTCTCTAGTGTGGCAGTTGAATTTATGTACATCTTTAACATTTGTCTACCTTAATTCATAAACTACTGTTTTAAGATTTCCTTTGATTGAGTGGTAAGTTTTCTTGTCCCTCCAAAATGACTCACTTTGAACACTTTGTTTATCATACAAGGTGTGCATGCATGTACATTTATATGCTCATGACCAAAAATTAATATGCAATCTACCAAAAGGAAAACGATGGTTTGCGTACATTTTACGCCAATGCCTGGCAAACCAATAGGGGGATTGTTGCTGATGTCACTGTTTACATTTTGGCTCATTAGCACATGACTTTGCTTTGAGAAGATATTTATTTAATATTTTATTAATTTATTATCAACTTATTAATGTATAAACTAACTAGACGTTACATTATGTAGAAAAAAATAATTAAACAAACGGTGAGGAAACCTTATAAGACAGGGTTGCCACAGTCAGGGAAAAGTCACGGAAAATTAGATTTTATTCAAGGTCAGAGAAAAGTCAGGAAGTTTTGTATCAGGTCAGAGAGTTTCTAAATCCCTGTTGAAAGTCAGTGAAAAGTCAGGGAATTTTATCTTAAGGTTGCTGCAAATTATTTTATTAGATGTTTTTGTATAGACAATGCAATTTTGTTTTAAAAATTATCTGAGCCATCCTTATTCTTGTTGATTCATGACCAGAAAAAACGAGAAATGTCAGGGATTTTTCTTGTTCCAGTGGGTGGCAACCCTGTAAAACCAATTGGGCTTGTACTGTAAACTTCATTTGGTTCTCTTACTAGATGAAGGCAGGATGCATCATTTACTGTTACATATGAATTCACTCCCAACAGTTAAGAGATATTATGAAACATAGTACATGTTGAAAGTTTAAGCTCTTTGGGTGTAATATTGAAGGAGGCATAATTGGCTTCAAAAAACTACAAAATTTCTGGGTGGCAGAAGTGCCCAATGAGCCCATTCATTAAATACAAATTAAATTTTTAATTTTTAAATCTGCATGGTACAAGAAGTATTTTAAAATTCATATATTTATTATCAAATTCCTTAGCGTAGTTAATCATCTTATGATCTTTCTTTCAATATTCACAACTACGTTTTTTGTAGCTTTATTATTATTTTTTTTTACCAGCATTTTTTAAGGTTTTTGTGCAATACGAATTGAAAGTAAATAGACCAGTCACTATATCATTCCCTGCTATCTATGATACTTTAGCAGATGAATTGTGAGGGAGTTTTGAAACTGTTTTGTTTTGATACCTTTTTCTCTTTACATCTTTCCTCATATCCCTGCATCATTGTTTTGGCCTGCTCTCTTAAATCATTCACCATCTGACTCCATTCTTCATAGTATGCAAACACAACTGCCATGGAAAAAAAATATAGACCATATGAAAATAATTAATGCAGTTACTTACATGTAGACATGTTGGACAACATACTGGTGGGTTAAGTCTGTATACGAGCCAAGAGGTTCATCAAGTCTGTGGTTATCCCTGTTTCGGTGGCATGAAGTGACTAGGAGTATTTCTTCTCCCCCCTGTATGGGAGGCTAGTCCATCACAGGGTTAACCCCTAGTAATAAGTTCACTTGTACTCATTTAGTTTATACACCTGGGTGGAGAGAGGCACCGTGGGAGTAAAGTGTCTTGCTCAAGAACACAATGTCCCCGAACAGGGCTTGAACCCAGACTGCTTGATCTGGAGGTGAGCGCACTAACCACTAGGCCACCGCAACTCCATAACATACAAATTAAGAACAAAATATTTTAAAAATTGAACTTACATGGTCCAGATGAATATGGAAGAGGTGGAATCTCAAAGGCATGTAAAACAACTACTGCATCTCCAGTACAATGAACATTGCTCATATACCCTGGAATGTAAATGTCACAGGTAGTTATTTTGATCCTTATCCCTTTGTGGTTAGCATCAGTCCAATGGTGATGCCTGTCTAAATACAAACTTTGGATACTGGGACATAGACAGCCTTGGGTTTACTGAGTGAATGCACCAGTGAATAAATATTCACGTACTCCGACACTCAAATAAAGTTTTATGTATGTATGTCCCTTTATATTGTTTTGCTGCACCGATTAGTCTGGAATAATTATTACAAATTTTGGTCGACAAGAATAAGTTCTCTGAAATTGGATTCAAACTAATGCCGTTAGGGCAAATGCTAACAGGTTTCATAGGTTGAGAATGACCTCAAGTTTAGTATAAGTTTGGTCAGAAGCATATCACCAGTTTGGTGCAAAGATTTTTTGACATTTGTTGCTTACCTAGAAGTTCTTTCAACAAAACAAAACATGTCAGAAAGGAGAAGGGTGCTAGTGATATGGTTTATTCACAACAGAATGAAATTAAGAGTTAGTTATTTGTCAATAACTGGTCAATTTTAGGACTTTTTGGTTTAGAAACGATAATTATTAAAACAAGATAACGCTCTGAAGGCAATGAAGGAGCCAGTCTGGAATTGTAATAAGCTTATAAATATTAATAGTGTGTTTTATTGAATAAGAATAGTGCTTTACAAGTCGATTTTGAGCTTCCTGAGACACGCAAAGAGCACTAAAATGGCTCTGAATTTTGTAATTATCTTCTGATCACCTGATAACTACAGATCGCACTTATGATTATAATTATGGACAGGGCGAGGTCACCCCCCATTGCTATCGGTCCGATTTAGCAAACTCGCTCAAACTTCCTAATCTCAGTAGGACGACCCAGAGTGAAGCATGACACTGAATTTGTCATGTATAGGATAACGACATTCACAATTTCTCAGAATATATGGAGTGAAGTTGCCAAGAGAAATTTTCACACCATCAGCAAGCAGGACATGGCCAAGGTCACGAACACGCTTGCAGAGAATTGTAGCTGCTCATATGCGTCAACGAAATAAGAAAATTAAATTACCGGTCTTTATCTACTAATAAACTTACAATCAAATGCTCGATCACCGTGTTCACTGCCGTCGATCGCGATGAGAACTTTCCTACCGCCGGTTTTGTTCTCCGCCATGTTTACGTTTCACACCTTGACGTGGTCGACTGTTGCCGACTGTAAACTGGTACCTGTCAGAGCCTGCTGTTATGGTATACAGCAGCCTCCCGTCGTCCACGCGCGCAAGGCATGCAACGCACGCACGAGGGCGCAAGCACGTCGACTAGAAAGCACGTCCGCAAGCACAAGTACAAGACCCTCGCGTCCAAATGCACGCATTTTACTTTCGTCAGCAGGGAAGCGGAAAAAAGCGCCATAAAGTGTCCAAAAAGTTAACGTTGCTTGAAAAACGTTTCTAGTGGCCCTGAATGAGCTGAGACTGAATTTTAAAGGTCAGGGGAACAGCAATGAATTTACCATGCCTCAGTTCCCCAGTGTGGTAGGGGTGGGGGATCAAAAGGTTTTTAGATTCTCACGGTTCTACATGCTGATTGACAGAATAGTTCTATAGGTTGCTGATGAGAACTGCTTTCATTTTGACTGTTTAATTTAAATGCTCTCATGTTATATTTTCCTATTGCATTAACTGATAATTTTCTAATATTATAAATATTTGTCACCAGCTATGAAATATAAATTTAACAGCTATACTATTCATAAAATTAAACCAGTTCTTGAGTAGCCTTTCCAGCTTCAAAATGAGTCCTGGTTCAACTTGGAGATTAAATATCCCATTAGGGTCAAAACCAAAAAAGCACTCTAAGCAGTGCCCCTCCCTAGGTTTTTAGTGTTAAGGCCCCCTTCTCAAGATGGCAATCACAGTCAATTTATGAACAGGACAGATTTTTTTTGTAGAAGATGTTTTAGCAGTTACCATTCCTCCCCATTTTACTTTCATAAACTTTCTACATGTGTTGTCGTTCCAGAAAATATTTCTCCCCCAACAGAGGGTTTCTCTGGTTTGAAATTATCCCTCTGGAAATGCTAGTTTTGGTTCATATGTTTCTTAAAAAGCTTGGGCTTTTGAGACCCCCCTCTCCTCCTTGGAATTTCCAATTAGTAACCCTTCTTGGGGTGAGTATGAATATTCTCCAGAAGAAAAAAGAAAAAATGAGTTTTACTTTCAAATGTGGTGGACTTTTGGGGCCAGAGGGAACTCTCATATCAAAAGCTTGCAGATGCTCGCCATCTTACTTTGGATAATAAATCAAGGATTCTGGTCTAACTTAGGGTGTTGATGATGAAATGCCACTATTTTTAGCTCTCAAGGGTGCACTCCAAGAAATAATACCACAAGAAATGCCCTTATTTTGGTTTTTTAGGCATGAGCTCCGCTAGTCTCTCAAGTCTGGTCTACTAGCGCTGGCTCCTTTCCTGAACAGTAGCTGGTAATCAAGCCCATTCTGTTTTAAGTGGTATCTTGTAGGGATCAAAATTATTATAAAGCTTGAACCACCACCAGATTGGTCTTCTTTAATGGTTTAATTCAAATTTTCCTTCAAGCATTTCCGACCTTTTCATGTTGGAGTTCCCCCTGGTTTTGGGAATAATGATGGTCATACTGAACATGCAAGTTCTACACAATAACAGAGATATTTACCCAAAGATGCAATATTATTTGTCTGGTGATGAAGTTATCATTACCACAAAGAATCTGAGCATCATCAACAACAATCTTACATCACATGATTTTTTTGTGATGCAATTTGGAATAATTTACATATTGTCATTGTTAAATATTTTTAAGTGTATTCCCGAATTAACCATATGATAACAATGAAACCAGATGCTATCAATAATTATTTTATTTCTCCTCTGAGCAACTTCAAAACCAAACACATATTACAGAACCAGATGCATAATTGAATAAAGATGAATCAATAGTTGACCTACAAGGAATGAATCATGAATAGTGCAGTATAGATAATTTAGAGATCTGCAACTTATTTCTGAAAAAAGGAATCTTACTTCATAAAGAAACATGGCCAATTTTTTTTTTCCATCAACAAGAAACAATCTAGTTTCCTGCAGTCAAATTTCCTCATAGTCTCTGACAAATTAATTACCATAATTTGTTTCATTCTGCTTCTCTATGTCAAGATCAAGGAGCAATATTGACAACATGCAATCAGTGCAAAATAATATAACACATGACTGAAGTACTCTAAGGGTCATCAGCCATCATTGTTAACTTGCATGAGGATGAGGATGGTTGCCGTGAGGATGAGGAGGTGGAACAACCACCACAGGAATGTGGGTGTGATGGACAGTATAATCACTAACACTGCCAAGGAAGGTGCGGCGCAGTGTTCCAACACCACGGGAACCCATGATTATAAACTGGGCATTCTCATCTTCTGCCAGTTTGCAAATCACTTCTCCAGGCCTGTTGTTTTCCTCCTTGTACAACTTGAACTTTAGCTACGATAAACATACAGAATATATCTCTCTTTAGAAAGGTTCTGTGAATTGCTCTCCTTTACCTTATTTATACCTCATTTCACTTATCATCATCATCATCATCTTTATTTAAAAACACGGTAAATACATCAGGCATTAACAATTAAATATAAAAGCTACAACTTATTATGAAAGACTTTGTATACAGATTAATCTTCTATAATTTAAAATATTGCTAACTATTAAAGAAAGTAAACTAAATAAAAGCCTGTTTTACATGAATGCCGTGTCGTAATTAAGTGACAATTGTCAGAAATTAGTCAGAGATGTTGCTTGCCTAGCAGTTGAGGGTAAACTGTTCCAGAGGACTGCACCAGTATAGCCAAAGCTATTTTTGTAATGGTTAGTGTGTGGCAAGGGAATAGCAAGCTTATTATCAGAATCATGCAAATTGTAAGAAGTAATCACATCACTCCGCTGAATGAATTTTGAGGACAAATAATTGGGTCCAAGGCCATTTAAGGACTTTTAGACCATCTCAGCCTTTAGTTTTTGACGTCGAGTTTCTAAATTGTCCCAGCCTAATTCTTTAAATAGCTGGTTGGCGTCAGCATCATAACTAGAATGAGTAAGGACGTGGACAGCACGATTTTGAAGTCTCTGTAATTTGTCAGATAATGTTTTGGCACAGTTGCCCCAAACAACACGACAATAGTCGAAGTGCAACTACTTCTCAGGTTGCTACAAAAGGTAGGCAATCTGGACCCCCCTTCTGGACCCCTTCTGGACTCCTTTCTGGATCCCCTTCTGGAACCCTTTCTGAACCACTTTCTGGATCCCCTTCTGGACCCCCATCTGGTCCCCTTCTGGATCCCCTTCTGGACCCCCTTCTGGACCCCCTTCTGGAACCCTTTCTGGATCCCCTCTGGACCCCTTTCTGGATCCCCTGATATTTTGGAAAATGTTTTGGTATGTCAAAATCTGTATCCCATAATCCACAAAACTGATTGTTTCTCTCACTGATACTATTCACCACAATCTTACAAACATTCCCAATGAAAGGGAAAACCATTCTGGATTTGTGGCTTAAGAGCCTTTAATTAAAAACTGGAGGTTTCAATTTGTATCACTTAATCCTTTGTCATTCTTACTCCAACACATTTTCCATAGTCAAGTTATTATTTTCCCCTGAAAATCATTAATAAATTATTGCTGTGCATAATAACATAGATCTAAAACTAACAGACATTGTTAAGTTAGTAGGAACTGACATCTTAATTAAATTTAATGTACAAGTTCTTCCATTTATTTAAATATTAACTAACTTGCAGAAAAAAGTTTCACAAACCTCAAGATTTTTACATTTTGTTCCAAAATTTTCCAACAGTTCCTTCACTTGCTGGTCACTCTTCTGCACTAAATGCTGCCACTCCTCATAGTATGCATAACCATCTGAAAGGACACAAAATATTTGAAATGTCGATCCAGAACAGTTTTGTCCAGCATACTATATAACAGATTTTACAGTTGAACCTGTCTTTGTTCAAATTGATAGACCGACAAGGTAATATTTAAGCAAGAAAGCTTTATTGGATTGGTTACACACAAACATTTCAGACAAGTGCAGCATATAAGTAAGAAATTGTAATTGTATTACACAGTAATATATACATCTCACCACATTTATACAAGTACACACACGCACACACACAAAAAGACACAACTAGAAAACAGCTACAATATTATTCACACCATAACAAAATGCTGGCAGTTAAAGTATTAGTGCTTTTAACAGAAGCTGCTTGAGATACTTACAGGGGTAGGGAGCGGCAGGAATGGTTGGATACTCCTGGGCATGGATAATAAGTAAAGTGTCTGTTTCTTTTTTACAAATATTCTTGATGTACCCTGTGTGAAATAAACAACTAAATAAATATTTGCTGAAAACATAGGAGTACTAATTAAAGATTTCTACATGTATGACATGCAGCAACCAACAAATATTTTAATAAACTTTGTCAAGCTAATTTGTCTAAATTTTCTGCCTACTTTCCCACAAACTGATATTATTGTGGTCAAAAATGAACTGTCAACAGCTGCCTACTTAAAAGTTTTTACTATCAACATAAAAATGTATTGAAACAACTGATTGCCATTCTCGTGTAAAAGGGACACCAGCAATATAATAACAGTTGAAATTCATAATACTGGTCCCAGATTTTTTATGGTTGTCTTAACATTTGCCAGTGCCATTTATACAGAACTGAGTTCTTGCCTAGTAATTTGGGAACAGTGGTGGTAACATAATTTACCGCCCAGCCCAGGGCTGTCATTAAGTTTTGAGTCAACTGTAGCCTTTATCTTCACACCCTTAACAAACTGATTATCTTTTCCAAGGGTGAATTGTATCAAGTATATTCCTGTTCACCTGTAACATCAAGGCCCATCAAATATACTCAGCCATAGCAGATGTTACAGGTTACGAAACTTATTGACAGCCCTGCTTGCGTGCGCCAGTGCTTGAGCAATGACCGCTCAATTGAAATCCAATGTTGTAACTAACAGGCCAGTGACTGTGCCTCCAAACATTGAAAAGTCATACAGCTTGTAAAACAGTACATCAAGGAAATAAGCAGTTTCAATCAACTAATTTAAGATGGTTGATTATGTCAAGAAATTTACAGAATGTTCTCTTCCAGAGCAAGGGAGAGTGGGACAAGGGCATCGTGGAGGGGTACAGGGTATAATGGATAACCCCTCCCCCTCCCAAAAAAAAATTATCTATTAGCTCCAAACATCATACTAATCTTTACTGGTTATAATAATGAGCCCACTATCATTCAACGATGGACTATGATCGTGACTATATATACAAATAAAACATGTTTCACATGACAAGTGTATAATTTCCAATGTACTGTATTTCCAGTAGTTCAGTAGTTCAAACCATTTACTATGGTACTGTATTTCGTTAACATTTTTCAATTTGTGTCTAAACACAATTCAGTGGCTACCTGTACTCAAAAAATAACATGTTTACAAGTCAATCTTCCGCTAAAAATAAATGCAAATTTTTCGCCAGTGTCCACGAGCATTCCATCGCTATCTGTGATCCCGAGCAACATGCATTCGCTCGAAAATACAAAATTTAATGTATTCAGGCTTACCCTGCTGTGCAAAGTCGTGAATATAGGCACGAATCTCGAATGATTGGATCTTTCAGTTCATAATTGTTCCTGATTTTCGAAATGGTTTATTCGAAGGTAAAACGGGCACGATCACGAATACGTTGTACTTTGTGCCCGACTAAAAAATTGTGCAAAGAGTGAATTAAGGTTATTATATAAGACATTTAAAGTAGCTTGCTAAAAAGCTTAAATAAAAAGTCTGAAAATACTTACAATCAAAAGCTCGCACACTGTGGTCGCTGGCATCCACACCCAAAACTATCTTTCGTCCGGTTGCTCCACTATCAGCCATTGCTTGTTTGTACAATACAAAACTGAGTGAATTGGAACACACCTAATCCTAACACGTCGATTCAAGAAAGTAGAACGTGATGCGATCTTTTGAGTGTGAAGCGGTGTGAAGCAAGACAAAGGACACAGAGGCACCAACCAATCACATGCTGTTATTCTCGTGGAAGCGATGTGATATGTGATGTGTCACGCGAGTGGAAAATTCTCGCGAGACACTGGACCCAAGACCTGCCTCAAGGATAAAATATTGTCACGATAAAATTATGGCAAAATATCTTTGTAAAATCAAGAGGGGAGACGAGGACAGGAGAGGAGAGGAGAGGAGAAAAGAAAAGCCCCAAGCGCTGAAAAACCAAGAGACTACTCAGGTAAGTACTTACGGGGAGGTGCGGGTGAGGGCAAATCGACCGAGCTCTCCCCCACCCACACGTAGCCCAAAAGAGGTCCTATAAGGCTAATACCAGACCCCCAACGGCTCGGAACGCAACCCAAAAAAATGTCTGTCCGCGTCCAGGAAGTCTGTTACTGAAAATGGTACAAAAAATACTTCACTGTGAGTCTGTGAGAGACTAGACTGCCCTCCCCCCTCATCATTATTAAATTTTTGCTATCCCCCGTACCCTGGGACCACCGTCACCAGGAACGTGAGGTATTGCTTTCATAAATATTGTATCTGTTGCACCACGGAAGCCTCAGTTTTCGATTGGAACGAACGCTACCATAGTACCACTGGAAAAGTGAAGTGGGGGGGGGGGAGGGGGGAGGAAAGTCACGAAGAAATATTCTGCGTGTGTAACCAGTGACTATACATTAACATGATGAGAATCAGTTAAAACAGCAATCATTTTATTTTTATTTGTTTAGATGAAAACAGATGCGCGCAAAATAGGTTGTCTAATCAGCCTGTTTTCCAGAGGTCTTTACCCTGGGAGCAGAGACTCCTTCGATCTTCCTAAGAAGAAGTATGGATTCAGTTTAATCATTCAGTTCAGTTTTTCAAAAATTTCTTCAATTCTATAAATAATTCAATTAAAAATTCTTTTCCGCCTCTGCGTTTCATGATGAATAAAGCAAGTTGTTTCCATACAATAATAACGGTAAAGCAGCCTGATCGGTCAGTTAAGAACAATCATTATTTTACAAGCATTGTCACCGTTTCGATTTAGTTTATTGGGGGTGGCACGACAGCCAGTGGAATATTAGTGTGATGAACACAATAATGGCTAACACTGCCGAGGAAGGTACGGCGCAATGTGCCAACCCCACGGGAACCCATCACAACAAATTGCGCGTTCTCATTTTTCGCCAGTTTGCAGATCACTTCTCCTGGATTGTTGCTTTCCTCCTTGTACAGCTTGAAATTCAGCTATAACAACAACAAAAAAAACACACCTTTTAGCGTTTTGTGTCAGTCGTACATTACGATTAAAATTTCTAGTTTACTGTTCAATTGCTGTACCGCATATGACAACCTTGTTCAATGTACGTATCAGTGAAAGTGGCTGCTCTTATCAAAGCTAAGCCATCGATATCTTATATTATAAGGTCCTAAGTTGAAGAAAAGACAGGATGTGAACCAATGTTTTGACTTTTAGCGGGGCAACCTCAATGGGATTCTCGCTTTAGCAATAGCTCTCTCAGTTTGACGCTGAGTATTGATCGTCTGCCGCCTCACAGCATCAGCTTGAGGGCTTCTAGTACTCACTGGATTATTTCTTCTTTCTTTGGAAAGAAACAAGAAGTAGAGAACTAACTGAACGCTGAATGTGAGGCTTCAGGGTTGATCACAATCAAACGTAATATCACTGATTCAGTGTTTGAAATATCACTGATAAGTAAAAAGAAGATGGCGGTTAATTCTTTTTAGGAAGAATTGTTCCCGGAACGTGTTTTTCCTTTAGCTTTTGTTCTTTGTCGTAAGTTGTTCTCGCTTAGGGTTTCCCATAATTCAATAAACGTTCGCGTGGGCATTCTCGGCCCAGGCCATCACTCTGTTTGAAATTAAGCTACAGAGACTATCACTTCAGCCTGCAGAACAGGCGGATAAGCGGGGCAGAGAGCACAACGCGAAGCGCTCGTGGTCGCGCTCTGCGCTCTCTGCCCTGCTAATCCGCCTGTTCTGCTACTACTATCACTTCTTCAGTCTCATCGTGAGTACCAAAGCAAAACGTTTGCATAGTGACTTAAACATAGCGTGAGAATGGACGATTTACCTCATGCGTGACACACATGTGATTAACGCGTGACAGGCATGTTTTCCGAGTGACACTCATGGTGGCAAGCATGTGACTTACGCGCGACAGGTGTGGAGTATGTATGAATCACGCGCAATGAACCTGACAAATTTTGCAAATTTTTTGAGATGTCGATTTCGTCGGTAAATTCTGTACATAAAAGGAATCAAAGACGCTTCTTTTTATTGATTCAATAGTTTTGCTCTCCAAAACTCCGTTACTGTCACTGTCCTGTTTGCATCATCTTATGTACTACGTATAATATTATTGAAATGTCCACAAACCCCGTGCTGTTTGCATTTCGCGCCAAATGTCTCCAACAGTTCCTTGGCTTGTTTCGTACTTTTCTCCACCAAATATCGTACGTCATCAAAGTATGCACTACCACCTTAAAGAATATGAAAAAAAATGCAACTTTTTCACTCAATAAAAAGCACTCGCTGAATAAAGTTAAGTCTTTGTCTTTTGTTTGTGTTTGCAGATGACGGCAACAAATGATAACCTGTCTTAAATCTTATTTCAGAGCAGCAAAAGGCAAAGTTGAGAAGTACTCGATTGAGATAATGTCTTGTCTTGGCTTGGGACTTGTATGCTTATTTAATTTTTTAAGCCGGGGAAGACAGTCTCGGGCGAACATTTTCAGTAGCTATAGTAAAGCTTGCATCAGTGGTACGAATTTCGTAAGGTTAGCGAGGATACTTACTGGCGTAAGGAACTGAAACAGATGGACACTCGTGGGCATGGATGACAAGTAAATGGTCTCTTTCCTTGTCGCACAAGTTCTTGATGTACCCTGTAAAATACGAATAACAGTATGATTTTAAGAGCATTAATTGAGAAGAATCCGAGAACGAGCATCCTAGTACCTGTAACAGTTTTGGTCCCAGAATTGGTCTACGAAACAATGGAAAGGAACTCTTCTCCTTTCTGAAAAACAGCCCTTTTTAGCTCCCTTACTAGGAAATAAGCTCGGGGAAATAAGCCACCACATATTCCGATAATTCGCCACCTTCACAGCTTCGCCCATACAAAGCCCGTCTCATTCTGTCATCTCAGTTCCCACCGTTTCAGTCTCCGTCCCTGGATGATTCTTGACCATTCTTGTTCCTTTATGGTTTATTATTATCTCTTTGGTGTTTTTCTATTTTAGTTAAGAACTAGTTTTAGGTTTTCTTCAATTTAAATGTAATTTTGTACGTGGTCAAAATATCTCAAATTGCCGTGAACGAGCTCCTTTAACCTCCCAAACATCAACGTAAGAAGCTATGCGATAAATGATAAGCTACCCCACACTACCCCAGATACAAATTCACGTGTTTGGTTCCAAAGAATGATATAATTTCTTCCGATTACTACCCCTCTATTTTAAGCGTTATTTCAATTTTCTATCGCTACGGTACACGATCTTATTTTGTTTTTCGTATCGTTCTACTCAGTCGATTTAACCTTTATATGCCAAACAGAAATCAGGCCAGGGAGGTTATTGCCGGAGTTATACAGTATGGCCTCGTTTTTCAGCCTTAAATATTGTTTTAAGTCGTGATTCCATGTCTGATTGTGTATTAATAGTGCAATAAAACAAAGTGTTGTATTGAATACGTTGTGAAATATAATTTCAGAGTTGTACAGTGACGTTTCAGTGTTACAACGGGTCGCGAGGTTCCTCTAAATATTCTCGCGCTACATAAATGGTCATAAATGCGTGCCAAAAAGCAGCCAAGATTCGATGACATCCTTCCCCCGGCTCCCAATTCTCAAAATTTGCCTTTTGCGGTCACACGTTCAGTTTCTGGTGGTCTCGAAATAGCCTAATTTAATTAAGTCAACGTAACCGATCTTCAGCTGAGAGTTGCGTGACAATCGAAATGGCAGCGACAGGAGGGCATTTTGACTACTTTGAAAAATTTCGCCTCGTCTAGATAAAACATTTCTTCCAACACATGTCATTGTTCCGTTTTGTTTACGCATTTTGTTGCCGTTTATGTTCGCACGTGCTACATAAACCATGTTCACTTGCTCTGCTGATGGCGGAAGCGTGTACTATAGCACGAATTTTGCCGGATCTGATCTTTCTCTAGTTTTTCTCTATTATCAGTCTCGACTACAGATATTGCAGCTTTGGAGACTTTCTAAATAAAAACCTTAACAGTAATGTTTTGATACTGAAAATTTGTTCGTAAAAAAGAAAGAAAACGCAACTTTCTGAAGTATGAATAATATTGTTTACTTACAGTCAAAAGCACGCTGACTGTGCTCGCTGGCATCAACACCCAACACTATCTTTCTGTCGCTTGTTCCGCTATCAGCCATTACTCCGTTGTACGGCAGTCAGTTACAAAAAACACAACGTGCAGGTTGCGGAAACACGGCTTGGAACAAAGTGCCAAAGGCGCGAAGCAGCGCACCGGGACCGGAAATATATTGGAGCCTAATGTCGTCCCCAGATCTTGTGAAGGTAAAACTTGGCCCACAAAGAGCTGAGACTGAATTTTTTATAGGCTGACGACAAAAATAACCCACGTGGAAAATGAGCCTCTTTAGTTTGTTCAGATTGATCTTTCATGTGAGCAATAAGATCAAATAGGCTGCAAAAATTCCACAATTTACGTGAAGTCTTGTCATTTAATCTATAACGAAAAGAAAAAAAAAAAAAGAAAAAAAACAAACAACAAAAAAAACACACCAACTTTAGCACGTTTAGTTCCGTCGTTTGAGGTATGTGTTGCTGAGCATGTTTCACATTAAGTTACGCAAATTCCTGTCGGAAATCATTTGCGTTCCAATACTGCTCTTAAAACCTTCGCAGCGAGCATCGACCTTTTATGGAAGAACTGATCAGTGCGCTACGTAACAGCCTGTTTACAGGAGAATTCGTGAAACTCAGACTTCGTAGGAAAATGTAAATTAACAGCTAAGCAATAGGAGGGGTGGCGAATAATTCTTCAAAAAACATGAGTCTCGCGAACTTTTCGTCGAATTTCAGTGGTCTCGCAGTCTCGATTTCTTTACGATTTACAAAGCTGTTTCGATTTTTTTGTTTCTTTTTATAACTGACGTCTGAACGTCGCAAAGACAAACGCTAGTCTCGTCTACCCCTTAGTATAGTGTCCAATATCTTTCAAAGATCCAGAAACTTTCAGCAAAGAATGAGCAGCGCACAAATAAAAGTGCTTGAGCTTTCAGCCTTAGTTTGTTACACAAAGCAATCAGCCTACCATAAGCGACCTTAGGTTGTCGCAAGACACAAGACTGTTGACCCTTTTAACTGGTGCATGGCTGACAACATTTCTCGGGGTTTCCCACCACTATTTGGAGATGAGTTATTTCAAAGTGCAACATATAAGTAAAAGTTCACGGTTTAGTAATATATAACATTCATCTGTTCAGGCATATTCCTGCCGATTTGACATCACTGCGCGCAGTGCAATGAAAGCGTCATGTTTTATCGGTTAAGCCGCACCTGACACTCCTCTCTGAGTCTCTTTTAAGCATGTAATGTACCAATGACTTCACAATCGTTTCCATAAAATTTAACGCTTTTATTTTTTAATACGTCAATTATTGTACAAATCAGTTGCTGAATTCACCGAAGGCAGGATTAAATATCATTGTATAAATTTACTTTTAGAACATTTTCTTCAAATTACGCACTAGGTATTTTCATCAGACGCTTCAATGAAATTTCTCGGAGCTGTAAGCCTTCGAGGTTTGTTAAATGTAGCCCAAATTGTTCTCGTATAGTTCCTTGCTATCGGTGATGGAAGGCAATGGGTGTGGTACCTCATCCACATCTGGGATAACTGGAGGTACAACTGAGACAGGCACTTCTGAGTGGTGGGTGCAAAAATAACTGACGCTCCCAAAAAGAGCTCGACTGATAGGGTCACGCCCACGGGATCCCATCACAATGTGGTCAGCGTGCTTTTCTTTAGCCAATCGCAGGATTGCATCTGTTGGACTGTCGGACTCCATAAACATTCTGCACTTGATCTGAATTAATAAACACAACAAGAATTCGGTAGTTCTATAAAATTTCTAACAGGGTGTCACAAATGTGGATAACAACAGACTTCGCTATTTTTCCTTACATTTCTTTCTTTGCACTTTTCAAAAAATGCTCGAAGAATGTGCTCAGATTCTGCGGAACTTTTCTCGACAGTTTCTTTCCAGCCCTTTGGAAATGGGAAGCCATCTGTATTAAGAGCAAACGAAAATCAGCTGTTAAATGACATAAGATGGCCACAACAGAAAACATAGTGTAATAACATATGTAGGACAATGCATTTCATGTGTACATACATAGATATGGGATGTTGGACCGAGGCATATCATTAGCGTGAACTAGGATCACTTCATTCTTCTCTTGGTGCAGGTTGTTGCAGTACCCTACAAAAGATGAAAACAGACGAAGCTTAAGATCTTCGAGTGAGAAGAAGTGACGAAAAACGAGAGAACAAAACGCCGTTAACCTCCTAACACGACGTCGCATCATTCGGTAATCGAACTTATCAAACGATTGGGTTTAGGTTCGATTGAGTTTGGCATCGAACAAAATTGAACCGAAAAATCGGGGGAAGAGATCAACTTTAAATTGATGTTTTTTTAACGTCAAAATTGGGACCTGGGCCGTGCTGCTCAAAGCCAGATTAATGTAACCCAGGATTAGCCAGAAATTTGATTTCATTTTTGTAACTTTTCGGTGAGCTTTTCTGCTACCCTTCAGTCTTGATTTTGAATAATCTTAAACTTCACAAAACATAGCAGGTGAAAAACATTTCCATACAAGAAAAGTCAATACTTCGGTTATGTTTTAATCCTGAACAACACGGCCCTAGATGGTAGAAAGCACTTGCTCGATTTTTATTTTCCATGGCTCCCCTTGCACGATTTTTTTTTTCGAGCAGTTTTTACTGCGTAGAATTTTTCTTTGAAAATTGCCCAAACCCTCCCTACCCCTCCCCCCTCAAAAATATAATAGTCCGTCCCTTATCTCTTCCAGAATTTTCTGGTCGAAGGATCATCCATCAAGCAACACTGCCTGCATCACGCCCGCGTCACGCCCTTAAGCCAGTTGTAGAAAGCTTCTTTCAAATAGCAAACGTCCTTAGTATCTCTACCTCTTCTCTTGAGTAATATCACCCTTTCCGGTCAACCATACGACGCTCAATGAGATTATGTATCAGTTAAAATCTTTGAAAATATTGATCCTGTCTTCGGGGATCAAATGCTAAAAATCTTAAAATGCGTCAAACCGGGTCTTTCAAAACCTTGTCAATCAGTATTATTTATTGTACCTCTAAACCACCCTTCTCTTAAATCTATGTTGTTGCACTTTCACTTTCTTATTTAAACCGGAAGCTGCCTGTTCCTAAAAAAAGTCTATAAATTATGGAAATGTGTGCACGCCTTGTGGGAATTTTAGACTTTCCTTTTTCGTTCGAAAGCACGTTATATAAAACACTAAAAATGAATGGTTTTGCCTCGATAATGCGAAATTCATTCATCGTTCAAAAAATGAAACTATTTTTGATAGATGATACCAAAACAAACCTGAAATGCGTTTCTGGAGCTGGCAGATTCCAAGTTATTTTTAAAAAACGAATTTTATGCATTGTTTATTTTTTTCAAAAATCGAGCCGTTACTGTTACGATCTGCCGAGCTTAAAGCACGTTATTATACACAACATCGAATTCAGTTGTTCTAATCGTGTTGAGCGAGCCAGGTTTGAGACATGTACGTGCCCACTAGTATTGTTTATCAGTGACGGGGCAAATGAAAATACTCACATTGAAATGCACGCTTGCTGATCTCGCTTCCATCAACAGGAATTAGAACCGTTTTCCCACTTTGCTTGCTTTCAACATCACTCGACATTTTCCTGGGCAAGTTTGCAAAAAGATCAAAGAGCTTGCTGCGTCGCTTGGAGATGTCTCCTCCGCAGCCGTTTCTTGGGATGTCACGCAACGCCCATTACGGTACATGTGCATCATATCAGTATAGCGTGACTTTGTCACGCAATCTCATTTTCTTTTAGTAAAAAAATGCCATTTTTGCCTTAATTCTGATAACAATAGGAACTTAGAGTCTTATTTAAAAAGTGTGACATAATCTAACTGATTTCCAATTTTTCAACCAGTGGAATATAAAATCCGAAATGGCCAGAAGAATAGCGCACAAATCATCCGGGAATTTTTTATGTGAAGGTAAACAAGTGTTCATGAGAACGAGGTTCGCGAACCCACGCGCGTGAAAAGTTGTACGTGCCAAATTTCACGAGCCAGTTACTAGTAAGCGAAAGAGAACCCGAGAAAAACACGAAACATGGCGAAGCAAGAAGAAGAAAGCAAGAAAAGGACTGTGTTAATTGCAGTGGACGGAAGTGAGCACAGCGACAGAGCTTTTGATTGTGAGTATGAAGACGGTTTCGTGACTCCGGTCGAACACACATGCACAATCAATTTAGCATTTTTACACCGAAATTATCAAGGTATTTCGTCCAAAAGCAGTTAAGAAGTTGTCTTTATCGACTATGAGAAAATCTGTTTATAGGTCACGTCGTAAAACTTAATTTTGATCGTCTGGCATTAAAAGAACTGTGATAGGAATCGTTAACCGGTAGGGGACGCGAGGAGAGGGGAGGGACGGGGCAGTTGAAAGCTGGGATAGCCAGAACAACTCTGTTGCAAAACATGGGGTAAAAAAATCCCAACCTTCCCATCCCCCTTTTCTCGTAGACAAAGTCAACCTCATTACATAACATAACATCAGCAGGAGCCCATGGCTCCTGGCGTCAGGAAAAAAATCCCAACCCTCCCCTCCCCCTCTTCTTGTGGACAAAGTCACCCTCATTACATAACATCAGAAGGAGCCCATGGGCGTTTTCCATTTGACCAAAAATTCCGAAATTTTCGAAACGAGGACAAATGGTGCGGAAATTTCCTGGGAAAAGTTTCAGAAAATCTGGAAATTGTTGAAGTTCCGAAAAGCAAACCTTTCAACCGAAAATTCTGGAAATTCCGGGATGAAAATCAAATGGAAAGGAAATTTCCAGGAAAATTTGATCGAAAATTTGGGTGAACCTCATGAGGTTGTCCTCTTTTTCGGAAATTATGCAAATTCGCAATTTTCTATTCAACACTACAGTGTGGGGCCCAGTTGTTGGCCGGGCCCAGTTCTTGGCCACTTTTTGTTCAGCGTTTACTTTTCATGCCACAAATAAATCTGAATAAAAAGCAATTGTTTCCAAAGGTAGCTTGATTCCTTGTCTTCCGTTCTGCCAAGTTTTGTTTCGTCCTGCCGAGTTTTTCTGTGAGCACG